TACTTGATCTTGTTTCATAGTTATTCACATCATGTCTGATCAGAATTTTTGTATTACACTTTTTTAGTTATTGAAAATTTTGGAACTCATTTTACATTGTTCTAATTCCAACTGTCAGTTTACTAACACTCAATTCTGTGTACATATTATCTGTGTTGGCAAGTCAGTCATAGTTTAACAAAATTTTCTTATATATTATTTTGCGAAACTTGTGCTTTATGAAATTCAGTTTTACCCCATGTTCCCAAAATAGGTAACATATATCTAAAGTGTGCCAAGAAAAATGCATTATAAATGTTTATTTTACCTTTTGTAGTTAAGTAGTCTCTGCTTCGGTAAAAAGCAGCTATCATCGACGTTGTTTTATTAAAAAAAATTAATGTGACTAGAGTGGATCCAATTTTAATCTAACAGATCTAAGGACAAGCAAGTATCTTTCACTGTTATTGGACAAGGATACGTGTCTGGTATCCTGACAAGTGGCAAACACATTTCACATTAACAAGCTGTTAATGTGAAATGAAAAAATACATGGTGTGAAGGTCAAAATAAAACTTTTTTGAGGTAAATATTTGAACAGTATTGGAACCTGCAGTAGAGAGATATAAATATTTACATAAAGATGTATATTCAGCACATGTATGAACTGCAAGAGGCCTCCACTTATTCCACATGTTTGAATTCAATAACAAAAAATTCTAAAATAAATGATGCTCTTGTGAATGATGTTTTTTAAAGCTTGCTACTTCTACAGGCATAATTTAACCAGAGTTGATTGATTTAATTCATGTGATTTTTGCGATAAAAATCAGTATTAAAATCAAACTTGTTTGTTTTCCTCTTTTCATGAATTACTCAATCAAATCAGCTACATAAAAAAATACTTATTCAAATGCACAGTTTCCATATTTCAAATATTAGTGAATAAGAAATCCAAACAATTATAATATTTAAAAATAATTTCATGCATGGCCTCCTCATTTCCCAACTTATTTGAAAGTTTAGATTATATATGCAAAGAAAACCACAGCTGAAAACAATTGATAGAAGATAGACTCAACTGTGATTTCCACTATAACAATGGTTTTACATTTCTTATTATTACTAAAGGCCTGTTCCCAGATACTCATTTTGAATTCTGAAAGTTATCACTAATGTTACAAATGACATAATCTTTATTGGTAGTTTTATTCAACATTCCAAGTGACAACTTTTTTGTTCCACTGTGGACACATTGCTTGGAACAAAAGCTAGAATGTTGCTAATGCAAAAAATAATAGTTTCTCTATGATTCTTATATTACGACCAATTTATATTAGATTTAGAAAAAAAATCAAAAAATCATGATTTATTTCATTTAAAAAAAAAGAAAATCCATGATTTTCATCAACCCTGAATTTAACTGATTTTTTGTTCTTCCATAACTCTTAGGATGAGCAAAAGTTGACATGCAAGGCAGCACAGCTGAGGTTGGGCAGTACAGTAATAGCTATTAAAGTTAAATTTGGATGTTATGAGATAGGTAGCTAATTTAAAGGTCAATTAATCTGGGGCATAATATCAGGATGAACATGATCCACTCCATGTATCATTCTAATGTAAGCAGTTTAAAGTGTTGAAAACAAACATATTGTTCACCACCTTGTAAGCTTAAAACCACTTGGTATTCCGCACAACCGCGCCGTGCGAGAATAATTATTATTAACGATCAAAATACCATTCAAAAAGCGGATCTCTGCGTATGTTAAGGTCACGAAAACATCCGGTTCGAAACATGAAATGCATTCCAAAACAAATGAAAAGCATGCAAGTATTTTTCGTTTTCCTACCTTCGTAACACAAGGCGATGAAATCCTCCTCGTCTCTCTTGTCGAAGTTCCATCGCAACAACCACGAGTTTTCCTCCGTTTCCTCCGCGAAAAGCTTCTTCTCATCATCTTCCTGGAGTTCCGGGTTCTCTGAAAGGAAACTGGAAGCTCCAGAGTCGCCCATGGCGCTCAGGCAAAGCCTACTTGGATGCACTTATGCCCCTTAAAAAACATCGTCGTCACTGCCGCAGTACGAGATAGTTACCATGGTGACAGACACTCAGGCGACTTGATCCAGATCGCGACACACTGGCTCCTCGGATCATCACCATTATTATTTTTTAAGTCGGGATATTTAACCTGAATTTTTTAGTCTCATCACTTGGGGCTTACAATCATTTATTAGAAGATGCGCCCCGAATATTATAATGAAATTAGATTCCGTTTTTTGAATGGGGGACATGTAAAACGCGCCGTTATCATGCGCGTGCTTGGAGGGAAATAATAAATAGTAAACGAATGCTGAATAACAACGGACGTAATCTCGTAAACAAATTAATAATGTTAATAACAAATAAAAATATTCAAGTGAGGATAACAAACAGCTGACTTGACACTTGAATGACGGAATGACGTCAACGGCGATCGTGGACAGTAATGACAGTTAAACTGTAGTGATGCGATTCATACTTACAAGGGAGTGTGAAATATTCGAATTCTACGACTTGGGGAAAATTGAATAATTGTTTTGAACTATTTTTCTTGTCTTATTTTTTACATCATATAATAGATACTATTTGTGACTTATGAATTTTCGGTAAATTAAGCTAACTATTCATAATACACAATGCACACACGTTTAATACATAATAAGGCGGATCCGCGTGTTTCGCTGGCTGCGCGATGATAGCTCCACCTAGCGTATGTCGGAGAAATGTTTGTTTGATACCTGTAATGCAAAAATTATAAGCAAATATTATTGAAATAGACATTTTAGTCGATTTGAGGTTAGAAACGTCTGACAAATGATGACAGCAAGATATTTGCACCTTTATTGCCAATCCTCAGTTAACCCTATATGATATAGATTTTACCGTAGAGACCACGTCTATGTTACAATCTGTCTGATTATTAAAGAATGTTTATCACAAAATCAAACTACCGCTACTATATTCAATAATTATTTCCTTATAAACAGGAGTATGACCTGTTTCTTTGGAATGTTCGTAAAGCTCCCATATTCAAGCAGAAAGGTGATTCCTACTCGTGTATAAACTATCGTTCAGTGTCAGATGAGAGAGATATTTGAGAAAATCTTCCTAAATCTGTTGTTAGATTTTTTAAATAAGATTGAAATAAGTACTCCATTTCGACACGGCATTGCAATAAAATTAGAGTACAAAGAGCGCATTATATGAAAGTGTAAATTGTAAATCAAAATGGCTGGATGAAAAAATGAAACTTATGGGTTTTTTCTTTGACTTTAGACGTGGTTGGGAAACAGTTGAAAATAGTATATTACTACGTAAACTGGAAACAGTTCATATTTTTTTGTCAAATCGTGGACATATAACAAGTTTAATGGTCATGTTAAATACTCCAAATTTCCAAACTGCGTAGGGGTTCCACAGGGGAGCTTACTAGCCCCTATTTTGTTTTTACTCATGAATAACGACTTACCATCCTTTGCTGGGCCGCGTACTCTTCCAGTTTTGTACGTAGACGGCTCGAATTTCATACTTAATCCAATTAAGAGTCAAGCCTCTATTACCAATTGAAAAAATGTGATTGATACAGTTAACTGGGCAAATGAAAATTGTGTGACCTTAAATACCAGGAAAACTAAATTAATACAATTTTTACCTAAAAATATTAACAGAAATCAAAGTATCTTGATGAGGATTCATGATGGAATCACTTTAGAATAATTAGAATGTATAGATTTCACAGAAGTGAAAGTGGATCCTGAACTTACATGGAAAATCCACACAGTTTATATCTGTATCAAAATAAATTTGGCGTCGTTTCTTTTTAGACAACGGTGGAGTTACCTTTTGGATAAAAATATACCTACCTTGTACTGTGGCGAAGTCTATCCGCGATTCAGCTATAATATAATCTGCTGGGGAAAGTCCTCTAATACAAACTCTGTCCTTATATCACAAAAAATATCGTGAGATAACTATCCAGAATTAGAAGAAGAGACATTTCTCACTAAGCTTCCGTCTAGTATAAAATACTGACAGTTACATCCATATATTTTTTTAGTGCCATTTACGTTAACAATCATCTGAAAGAATATCCAATTAGGGATTCAGTTCATTCTTACAATACTAAGAAAAAACATCACCTTTGTCTGACAAAAAGATGCTTGGATACATTTAACCATTAGTAGGACCGTATATTTATGTGATTATTAAGATATAGTATGAATTGCCTGAATATATAAAAAATGTCTCTAACATAATTATAATAAATAATCTTTTTAAAAATAATTGTTGATTCCCAAGGCTTATGACTCATTACAGTTTTTTTAATAAATATTACTGTGACATTTATATTGTTAATACCGGTACGTTTTATCGTGGCAATTATTATATTCAAAAAATGTAATGTAACTCTATTTTTCATTTACTTTCTCCTATGTCAAACATTTAATGTAGTTGATCCCTGGATATCAAGAATTTTGAATGACTCTTTTTATCTACCGCACACGCGACAATGGATTTATTTACCCCCACTATGCGGTTTGCTTTCGGCGAATAGAATGCGCGAACCTCTCATCATGTCGTCGAGAGTTCACATTGCTCAGCGGTTTTGATTCATTGTACCTGAAACAAAACTAATGAAAAAGTATCGGCAAACATTATCAAACGCCGTTTGAGCGCTCTCTATTTTTTACACTCATTGACTCGAATTCGTGATAACTAAGGCACAGATAGTTGCCACAAACTGTAACCCCTGTGTTAACAAATGAATAGCACCAAGAACGTTACTGAATATTCTATTTAAAACTATTATATAATTGTTGCCCGTACTATTTTTGTACTGTGGTCAAACTATTTTATTGATTTGATGAAATCTATTTCACCAGTAGCTTTATAAAGTCTGGTTTAAATAAATAATCAATTGACTTCATACGAATACTAAGTAACTAAATACGCCCACCTCGATTGAAAGTTTAAAGAAGCAGCATTGCCGAGTCTCCCTTAAAAAAATCATTCTGCATACATATTTCCTAAATTTCATTTTTGCTGCTTCAAACGGATAATACAAAAGACAAAGAACACTTTAGAGATTAGGCAAACAAAACAAAAAAAGGAAATTCATATCTTTAGCTGAAGCACGGTTTTTGTTTGCAACACTGTACGCAGTTCTATTTATAGTAGGATTTTTGAATTCGAAACATTTTTACCATAAACCTATAATTTTTTAGAATTCTGTAAAAGTTCACATTCCTTCAAATTAAAAATGTCAGTGTCATTAAAGAATTACTAGAACTCGCAGACCTAATTTTATCTCCGTGTTTTTTCATTTTTGTTTATTGTTGGAAATGGGAATAAAGTACACCGCGGAAGGATCCAGGCTGGAGAATTTTTGTGTAAGATAATTCCTAACAATTATAAATTCAATGAAATGGTTTTATTGCTTTCAGAAGCCTGTAAAGTATACCAACCCGAAGATCTTGACTGGCAACTGGTTTGAAGAAAAGTGTGCTTACAAGAAAAATAGATACAGACATTCCTCAGAGTATCAGAATGAATTCAAACCGAAACCACTGACTACATATCCAAAATCCATCATTTGGGACGCGAAATTCAGCTCAGACTTTGTAAGAATCATGTAGGAATAATTTTTTTACAGTGTTATGGACAGTAGGTTATAAAAAGAGGAAATTGCGTTCCCTATATGAACATTCCTTTTCTGAGGATTACAAAAGCAGTCAGACAGGAACCAACTTTAAAAAACTCTTCAAGTCGAACTACATAAGTAAAATCAGAAGGGTCTGTATCCTGTCACCGTATCATAAGACAAGTGTAGTTCATGGTGAACATCCACATTGGGGTTGCGGAGAAATAGTAGCATTGCAACACTGCATTTTGGAATGTCCAGGCGCTAATGAGGCAGTAACCAAATGTTTAGGAATTTGTCCAAGTACTTACCTTTACCATTGAATTTAAATATACTAAGTGACATATAAATCCGAACACCCAGTTTAAATGGATTTATTTTAATAAAATTTTGTATAAGTACTTAATGAAGCATAATAAGTAAATGATAAAAATTTCAAAATGATTGCACTGCTTTAAAGCCCTTTGACCTTTAATAATGTGTGGATGCACCCTGATGTGCTACGCATTCTTCAACGCGCCTAGGCATGCTTCTGATCAGGTGGTCAATGTCCTCCTGTGGTATCTCATTCGAAGCAACCACCAACTCCTCTCGAAGTGCTTCTAGAGTCTGAGGAGGACGTTGCAAATCTTCTACCCATCATATCCCACACGTGCTCAATTGGAGATAAATCGGGAGATCTTTGTGGCCATGGTAACAATGTGACATCATTATGTTGAAAGAAGTCTATTGTGACTCTTGCAACATGTGGTCGGGCATTATCTTGTTGGAAAGTTGGATCTGCCAGGGTGTCAAGATAGGATAAAAGATGGGGTTCTAGAACTTCGTGGATATAACGCTGCGCGTTCATGTTACCTCTGATGAAGATTAAAGGTGACCTGGAACCATAAGCTATAGCACCCCAAACCATAACTCCAACAGTGTGATCAACATGTCTTTCAACAAAAAACTGTGGATTCCTCCTTTCACCACGTCGCTTTCTAACCCTGGCACGACCATCGTGCATGCCTAAACAAAATCGAGACTCGTCACTAAAGACAATACTGTTCCATTCCCGATCCCAGAGTGACCGTTGTCTGCACCACTCAAGGCGATTACGTCGGTGTTCTCGAGTTAAAGGGAGGACCCAGTGTGGCCGGTATGAAAACAAGCCAAAACTTCTCATTCGTCGGTAAACACTTCGCATGCCAATAGGTCTTCCGTGTTCTGCAAACCATTCATTTGCAATGGACCTGGTAGTGGAGAAACGGTCCCTTAAGGCCAATAATCTTAGGCGGCGATCTTCACGGTCTGTTGTTCTACGGCGGCGTCCAGTGCCCCTTGCTCTTTGCGTACGGCCTTCTTGAAGCCATGCCTGACAACACCTAACCACAGTGTCTACACTTCTTTGCACTCTAACTGCAATTGCCCGAAAAGAACGTTCAGCTTCCCGAAGTCCCACTATACGGCCCCTATCAAACTCACTAAGTTGACGAAATCGTACAGGTCTCCGTACTCTAGGCATCGTAACCGATCGTAAAGGATGTCAAGAACCAAAATCCGCCAACGTTGATTCTTTACTGCGGCTGAAATATTCATTTTTAGAACGTTGGTGAATTAAAAAAAAGCAGTATAAAAACCGAAATGCCCAACTGATAAGGCTGAAAATTTTTTCACTTGTTATTTACAGTAAGATAAATACATTCACCAACTTTTATTAAAATAAAACCATTTAAACTGGGTGTTCGGATTTATATGTCACTTAGTATACAATACTGAGATCCATTGAGTTGAAATTTTGTTTAAAAATAGTAAAATAGGTTTAATTTTATAAAATGATGTTTGAAAAATGCATGGGAAAGAGGAAATTAAAAAAAAGATCAGAAAGCGAAAAAGGGAAGAATATGGAAAAAGATAAAAGAAGATAAAAAATATATATACACTTGTTAAAAACGGAACTGAAAATATAACGATAATAATTGTAATTACTATACTCTAGTGAACTGAATGTAGAATAGTAATAGAAAGAACGGACGTCCTGTTTTCTATTTGGGCATGACATTTGAAATAATAATTTGTGTCATTAAAAGAACAAAAAAAAACTATTTCCAGGCAATTTGTCCAGAAAAAAGTAGCGACGAAGAACCAAGTTTTTCAATAACTTTTCCACCACATACGATTTGTCTTACAATCATTTACCACAGTTTTACAAGAGGTTAATGAAAGCCATACCCAGTGAAAATGCTCCTAGTAAAGATATGGAACTCACTGAAAGCTATGTAAGTTACGTAAATAAAATATCTGGCAACTCTGTTTAAATCCAAGATAGAGAATTAAACTTAGTGGAATATGTTATAGTCTGGTACCAAAACGGAAGAGAGCAGCACAATACATCGTACGCCACTGCTAGCGCGGTATGTCTTTGAATACGGTGAGATCCCCGCACACCGACTTTGCCGGTACAAATGAAAACCGCGCTAGCAGTGACATACGAAGTATCAAATGCTACTCTCTTCCATTTTGGTACCCGAATTTAATCAATATGAATAGAGCAGTCACTGGTAAACTCGTTATCTATGGTCGCCACCACAACTAGTACAGAATAAGATCAGGTGTTCCAGTCAAGACAGCACCGCCAATAAGGTATCATAAAATCACTTTCAAGGTGGTTCTGACCGTAAAACCACCCAGTCTTGATGTATCAGCCTTCGAGTCTCATGCGCGTAGTGCATGACTGTGTTTACATCTACTCCATCTTTGATTGTTGAGGATTATTTTCTCTATTACAGGGTGGGCCATAAAAAATGCATTTTTGTTTATTAAATAACACCGCGAAACGCTGGAGGGAGGTTCGATTATACGATTCATACATTTTCAGTAGACGCGAGTCGATTTACGGGGCAACAGCACGCCTTCGTGGTGCAAGCGTTCTTTGAGAATAATCGTTCTTATATGTCAGTGTGCGACGTTTATTTCGAGTAAAATATGGATTGCGACGTATTCATCAGTGCCCTAGCACCAATTTAATGAGGAAGTGAATCTGTTCGAGGCGATCCAGAGTTCTCAACTCGTAGATGTTTAGCGACTATGAGTACGAGTTTGAGACGAATGTTGAAGCGTGACTTGAAACTTTATCCATATCAGATTCAAATCGTCCAAGAGTTAAAGGACACTGACCTTACAAAAAGATTAGAATTTTCAGTGTTGATGCTTGAGCGGTTTTGTTAACAAGCAAAACTGTCGATACTGGACTGCGAAGCAACCGTCGCTGAATACTTCATTGCCAAAAGTCACAGTTTGGGCAGCAATATCAACTACCGGTTTGACTGGACTCTACTTTTTTTAGAACGATCGCGGGCAATTTGTAACTGTTAATTCAGAACGATATGTTCCAATGCCGAGATACTTTCTTTTCCCTAAAGCTCCAATATTTTCATGGATATAACTGCATGACGTGGTTTCAACAGGATGGCGCCATCTGTCACATGAGCATGGGCGTCGTACAGCAAATGTTCCCTGGAAAACTGATAACGAGGGGATGGTACATTGATTGGCCACCATGACGCCCTGACTTGTTCCTACCCGATTTCTTTTTATGGAGACATCTACAATGCTAATCCAAAAATCCTCAACAAATGAAAGCAAAGCATCTCAAGAGCAACTTGCAGACGAGTGTTCGGCAATTTGAACTTCCGTTTGGAAGAGTGTTCTCGATGATGATGATGTAATTTTCAAAACATAAATTGCAAAGGTCCTTCTATATAAGAAAAATTAGCAAACTGTTCTAGGTATAACCTGCTTTCATTTACATGTTTTCAAAGGTGAATTTTATTATGGCTATCTGTACTATGGAACACTGGTGATACCAAAAGTTCTGGATGGGGCTCAGCAGGATGCCCTCGGTCCTATTTCTCTCATGTTTACCAATTATTTTTCCGGCTACTCTTTTTTCTCATTACTTTGGCATGTTTTCCGATAAATCAAGTAATTGATATTTGGTCGTGTATCGTGGGATGCACACATCCTCTTTCTTTCTCTCTCTTCATTTGTATTAAAGGCATTCGTTTTCAGAAACGCTACTTAAGCATATCCTTCCCCTGCTTTCCACATTTTTCAATCCACACTCGCAATCTTACTGGGAGTTGACTTTAACCCATGCCGCAAAATGATTAGTGATGAGTGTAACAAACGTGTTTTGTGCGTATTTCAAAATCGATGCAAATCGATTATTTCTTGCTTTTTTGTAGTTATTTTAACAGCAGAATTATCACGTTTTCTTGCACACTGTAGGGGAATATAACTGGTTATGGATTAATGACCGAGAAAAAATCTGAATGGCATCTGGATGCGCCAGATCCAAGGATGACTAACGTGACTTCGCATAAGTGCGACTTCGCTGCGCCAGATGACAACTCCTACAAATTCACTCGGTGGTAAGAATAAGCATAAACATATTACAAACTCTCAAATACCTGGGCTAAAAATGTTTTCATTGGAGAAAAATAAAATACACACCAAAGGTTTTTTTTCGTTTTTCAAAATGTAATAGAGTTAGTGAGAGATACAAATAAGAATATCGGGTATTTCATTATTTCTGATGTTTTCCTTCAATATATGAATAATTGGTAACTTTTGCTCTTGATATTTCACACAAATTTTATAAAGCGAGCCTTTTTCAGGGAGTTAGAAACGGCTTATCTCAGAGGTATTTCGCTGTTATGTATATGACAAGCAAAGAGATTTTAAACAAATCAAATTTACACAAAGATCGTAAAATACTAGGGATGCCTCATGGAATTACTGTTTTTTAAATAGATACTCTCACTGGGGACATTTTTCTTTAGTCACTGAGATTGCAAACGAACAAGCATATTGATGTCAATCCGGGGTGTAATATTCAGGTAGTCATTAAATTTCTATGGAATGATTTCAATTGAATAATTATTTCTACAACAAAGTTGAGCTAACTCACAAATATTCTTACAGGACTGAATTGTCTAGTAGTTTTTCAAACACAGTATTGCGCAAATGTTGTAGCTTTTGCAGAATAAAGCAAAATTTTCCTAATTTAGTCTCTTTACTCACTCTACGCCGTACAAAAACTATGAAAAATAATCTCAGCGTACAAAAAAAACACGGGAATGAACATTTTGATTCATAAGTTCATGAATGGGGATTTTTTGCCTGGTTTTGTACGTCCCTGGCCCACTGTGCGATTCAAAGATTATTTCGCTTTTGAAATTATAAATACACCTGCATTATCTTAACAATATTCTTTTCTAAAATATAGGACACTACCAACACCTGTCAGAGGAAAGTACGGGCAGTATTTCAGGCCTTTTGGTATCGATCATCCCAGAACAGACAAGTATGATCCCATCAAAACAGCATGCGTCAAACAGTGCGATGAAAAATGTGCATGTATGGAAGTAAAGTTTTCTCAATAACAGTTTGTTTGTTTCAAATGAAAGCTGAATAGGCTTTGCAGTTTTCTTTTTTCGTATGCTTAATTGGAAATGTCGACCGTATTTCCCAAAAATTCGTCCTGTCCGAAAAATAAGAAAGTTCGTGAAGTTACAATATTTATTATGCACAACCTTCCATAAACAACACAGCTAATAAGATTTTAAATACATCCTGTACAAATAAAAAATTAATGTATATATATATATATACAAAGTACACATAAGAATCGGATATTGGTGAGGTAAATTGCAAATGGCAGTGAACAGTTTTTGTTTTGTTTGAAATCAAAAATAAATTCATAGTGTTTAAGTACAGCTCGGAATATGTTTAAAATCAAAGGTATTTGATATGAGAAAACCACGTTTTTTAAGATAAATTAACAGAAAATTCATTCAGAAACAATGATTCAAATTATTCAATACATACACAGATTATGCATTTTACAATATAAAGTAATTTAAAAAAGGAGCCAACTAAAATATATACATTGAACATACGAACACTAAAATCTACCAAACGTACTTGGTTGAATCACAGTTTATGTTACTTAAAATACAGGGTGGTCAATAAATAACTGACTGATTTAAATTGCGCGCCATTTTTGATACACGCATTTCAGTAGGTGGCGCCGTAGTAGTTGTTTAAAGTCCAACATTCAGTTAACCCAAGAACTACAGCCTAGTGACCATGAAGGTCGCCGACAATACAATCATGCAATATTGCAGCTTAATACCCAAAATAACGATTTTTACCGACAACTGATAATGAGCCCATTTCGATATGAACGGATTTATTAATAAGCAGAATTGTCGTATCAGGGTATTAGAGAACCCTCTTGTCATCCATCAACGACCACTACATCCTCGTCGAATCACAGTTTGGTGCGGTGTGTGGTATGGAGGTGTCATTGGACCTTACTCATTTGAAGACGCTGCAGGTAATTTACTTACCGCCAGTGGCGAGCGCTACCGCGATATGGCGCAAAATTTTCTGGCTCCTCAAATCCAACAATTTAACCTGCAAAATATGTGGTTCCAGCAGGACAGAGCAACTTGTCACACAGCTAGCGAAACAATGAATCTTTTGCGAACAATATTTCCGGGACGTTTAATTCCTCGATTTGGTGATGCCGACTGGCCACCAAGGTCAGCGGACTTAAAGGTTCCAGACTGTTTTTTTATCGGGATTTTTTAAAAATAGGGTTTATGCCAACAAACGAAATACTGCAGCTGAAGAACAATATTACGGAAGCGATTGAAAATATTCCTCCCGAAACCTACCAAAAAGTAATGGAAAATGTCATCCTAGAGGCGGACATTTGTCTGATATCATTTTTCATACATAATTTCTAAGTTACAATAAAATATTAACATGGAAAAAATGGACGTATTTTATTTCATTTCACAAACATTCAAGATACAAACCAGTCAGTTACATATCGGCCACCCTGTATTTCTAAAGCTTTCTATTGTATAGGAGTAAATATTTTACCAAATGGTTCTGTGTTGGCAGTCTTCATGTGGAGTCTGGAAAGTATTTATTTTTCCGTCCGCGGGAGTCTGAATAATGTTCAAAAATTTCAAGTCCCTTCATAATAGTTTTTCAAATTATTGCAGAAAAAAACGATATTTCTACCTGTCATATAGTGTGACCAGATTATCATACATTCTTTTAAATACAATCGTTAAGAAAGTTGGAAATATTGTGCTTTTCTGCACATTCGAATTCAAATGTTACAAAAATCATTTCAAGTGAATACAAGTATTTCAACGATTAGACAATCCAAAACGTCTTATCCAACAATTTCGGCTTAACATATTTGGACCAGATCCCATAATACTTTATCTGTTCGATATCAATTTTATGTAAAGTAGCGGACAACAGTTTGGAAACAAATATTAACATCATTATGAACTATTTCATATACCTAAATAAAAATTGTGAATGAACAGATAATAAAAATATTCTTCTTATTAATATTTAAATTTTCTGAAAATAAAAACCACAGTTTGTGTAATGACAAAAATATGGACACAGTTTTGCCGTAGTTATTCGTTCTGCGATACACGACATTGCGTGCGGTAAATATTAACATCAGTGAGAATGACAACAGTATAAGAATTTTCATAAGATTTAAGAGACAAAGTATTTGAATTATTTAGAAATGGTGTCAGAAATGTCGACATTTCTAAAAGATTAAAAATGAACAAAGGGACGATTTCGAAAATTATCAGTAAGTATCAAGAATACGGATCGACAGCAACGGGGTCCAGGTGCGGAAGACAGAAAAAAACTGATGTTTTGGATCGCTACACACACATTTAAAAAAAAAAATCGTAGAAGAGGGTACCGAGAATGTTTCTGTCAAAACAGTGTATAGAGGCTTGCTCGGCTTGAATTTGGTCAAACTCATCTAACTTGGACAGAACAACAAGAGAATACAGTTTTATGACGGTGCGGCATATGTGAGACGTCCAATACAAAAAAGATTCGGCAAAAAGTATCAGTTGCCAACAGTTAAGCACGGTGGACGCAACATCATGGTTTGAGGTTGTTTTTCTAGTTCTGGAACGGGTCCAATTGTTAAAATTGTTGGGAAAATGGATCAAAAACTTTACAAAGATAGTCTAAGTAAACACATGCTGGAGAAGAAATGCCTTTACAATGGACATTCCAGCAAGATAATGACCCCAAGCATACCTCAAAATTCGTAAAGGACTGGTTAAGACTAGAAGATGTTAATGTTCTTACATGGCCTTCGCAATCCCCGGACCTAAACCCTATAGAACAGCTTTGGGAGCATGTTAAAAGACAACTGACAAGAAAAATGGGAACGATTTATTCGATTATGTAAAAAATGTTTGGCAAAATATCCCACCAGACCTCTGTAAAAATTAGTGTCTTCTATGAGTAGCAGATGTCAGTATTGAATGCTGAATTCTATGCTACCAAATAAAAGCTAAACAGTATTTTTTAAATCTTTTCGAAGAGTTACTAGTATTTAATTTTGTAATAAAAAATATGTTTCCATACTTTCGTCGTCGCATTTCTGGTCATAAAATAATATGAAGGTATTTTAATACTAGTCTGTAGTATCACAGCAAACACAAATTGCCATTTGTATCCGCAAGACTGTAAGCAAACTATATGAGAAAAAAATAGTCGTTAATAAAAAAGAATAAAAAATTAGCTCACTTCTTAAAAATTACTAAGAATGTTTCCAAACTTTGTCCGCTACTGAAGGTTCATGGCAGAACGAAACGTTAGAGTTGCTTAGCACAGTCTGTTGCAAACAGGCTCAACTTCTGTTCAAAAGCAGTTTTTTTGGAATGACATCGATTAATATCTCAACACTTGTGGACACAGGTAAAAAGTATTGATGCTAGCATTAAATTAACCACATTGCAACAGATTCGTCTTGGGGCTTTATCGATCTTCAGGGTAAAGGTACTTGAAAAAGAATCTATAAGTACGTGGTATTTCCAGAAAGGGGCAAAATTCAATGACATTCATTGTATTATTATTCAACGATTTCCGAATACAGTGCCCTAAGGCGTACCACTGGAAATAGTTTTTTTTAATAGCTTTTGAGCAGTACCCTATACAGCTAAAAATAATTTTAGGTTGTAGCCCTTAGCTCTGCCTACAACTTTTATATGTAACTTTTTTCTGCAACTCTAATAGTAACGAGGATATTGAGCTTCGACAGACCCTGTATAGTCGGTGGTTGAGATGTTACGTTTGACCTAATATTAAGAGCATTTCCGGCAAACCAGCGCAAATTAACGCCTTTCTCATTGATATAACCCGGGTCTAATCTATTAGGTTATATAAAATGTTACGGGATTTTCGTCAACTAAAGTCTTGTTTACCGTCCTTGTTGTAATCGACGCATCGTCATCAAACATGCAACTTAAATGTCGAATTGCGCTTGTCTTCCAACCAAAATCGAGGAAAAACTTGTGACGACATATCGTTTTATAAGTCTACTGCTGCTTTTTCCTCCTCAGTTTCTGAAAATTCGATCTAGATCTGCTACATAGATAATGCTGGTTTACAATGCCAGCAACCCATACAAAGGCCATATCCACCTTCCACTATGTCACTAATATCCAGCTCGCCATCACATCTTTTTAAAACTCTTACTATCACCATTGATATTCTTGAACAGCCCATTGTACGCAGGCTTATCACAAATCACCATCTCAGGGCTGATACTCATGCTTCTCATGGCAAAAGCACCGCCCAAATTACCTTGAGGTGAACAGCTCAACACCAGCATGTTGTTCTGACTCAAAACAGGATAGAAGGTATTGTTATCCCCTCTGTAGTACAGTTTGGTTTCGGAAACTCCATTTTGAGGGTATCTGGTGAAACCATTTTGAGGGGAGGTTGTGAAACCATTTCTGTATTGTTGGTGCTCCACTGGTTGGAAATGGTAGGCAGGTTCTGATAGGATTGAGGCTCTGTCGACGTCTCCGGAGAGTGAAGGCTCTCTGGAGGCTGGTAACGAATTGTAATGCGCATCTGGATGATGAGACACAAATCCGGAACTCTGGCTTGACGATCTGCAAAGAACAGTACTAACTTGATGTAATGCAGTCAGGAGCGGGGATATAGAAAAATCTACTTTCACAAAAAATTTCATATATCCCAAAGTTTAAACGTAAAAGACACAGGGTGAATAAGTAAAAAATAACCCCTCGAAATAATGAGCAATATTCTCTGAAAAATCGAAAAGCCGAGTTTTAGTTTTGTTCGTTTATTGCCCGTAGTTTCGTCGCCACTGGACCGATTTTCAAAAACTACAAAGCTTTTTCGTCCTTGGCATAGTAGAAACATTGTGTGAAAATTTAATCCAAAGTATTTTCCAAGTTATAGACGGGTCAAGGATTAGCGAACAGACCGACGGAAACGAGAGACATGGTTCTTCGTGATGTACAAAAAACGTAATACCTCATTTTCGAAATTAAATACTTTCTCTCCAGTAGGCATGTGAAAACACAAAAAAAATCATATGGATTCGATATTTTTTTGAACTGAAGATAACAAAAAAAACAAACCTGCTGAAGTCATTTTTCCAAAACCCTCCTGCAGTCCAGGGATTCTGTGTAACATTCAACTTTGGAGGAGACAACAATGGCTTCTTCTCAGAAAACAAAGCTGATGGGCCTCTGTCTAGTTTCAGATTATCCAGACTCCTAGAATTTAACGAGTCATTTTATTGTAACCCATTTTAAATTGTCTGCATTTAGCAGAGCTGAGCGAATAATGATCAGGAATAGACCTCCCTTTAATGACTAGTAGATAACTCTAAAGCTACTAATTGAGATACAGATCTCAATAATCTTCAATCACAAATAAACGTTCCTCAACGGATCGACAGTTGCTTAGCTCTACTGAATGCTAGCAATGTTGTATCTAAACACGTGAGACTTTTACATTTACAAGTTGACATGCTTGCTTAATGTCTTTGTAACCATGACCAACCATGGACAGTGCTGTTTCAAGCTGATTAGCAACACATTAGTGCAGTATACAAGGTATGTCGCAAAGTCAACAGATATCCTATACAAGTAGCACCATCTATCAGGTAACCAAATAAGTTCGTGTGGTTTTTAGTAAAAAAATATAAATTTTTATTGAGAAACAATAAGACACTATTTATTCGTCGAAGTATTTACCATCACATTCAATGACCTTTTGCCAACGTGGAACCAATTTGTGTATGCCGGTATTGTAGAACTCCCTGGATTTGGAGTAAAAAAATTGGCGGACTGCATTTATTACACCATCTCGAGTTGTGAACTGTCAGTGCCTCATACAATTGTCAAGAGACAAAAAAGGTGATAATCACTGGGCGAAATGTCGGGTACAGTAACGTTTCCCAGCCGAATTCAGAAATTTCTTCTCGGGTCACTATTGCGGTATGAGGCTTGGCGTTATCCTGCAAGAATATCACTTTCTTCCGATTGATCAAAGAAGGCTGTTTCTGGATGGGTGCTGCTTGTACTCGTTGAAGCTGCTCACAATACAAGTTAGCAGTGATGGTCTGACCCCTTTCCAAAAACTCATAATGGATAATTCTAGTTGCTGCCCACCAAGCACACAACAAAACCTTGTTTGGGTGCAAGGAAGCCTTGGGCGTGTGTGGTACCGAATCAGTAGGCGACAATCAATGATACGAACGCTTAGAATTCGAACACAAGATCCATTTTTCATTGCAGGTTAATAACTGATTAAGAAATGGTTCATTACCGTTGCGTGAAATGTATGCTGAACAAATGGTAAGACGACTTAATTTGTCGAAGATCCTCGTTGTTCATGATTTTTGGTCTTCCTGAGCGCGGTTCATCGCTCAAACTGAGATCTCCCAAAGAAAATTTGTTGAACAACTTCTGTGAACGGCATCATCTCCGAATGGGGTACATATTTTTCCCGCCGCCGCTGCAGCTTTTGTATCTAGTTTGTACTCATACAGTGAACAACTTCGAATTACTGTTTTATTCGTCGCCATTTTAAACTATTAAAACTAGGTATGTAACAATTTTCAGCAACTTTTTATGTGTGTGAGAAAAGAAGGATTCATACTAAAGTGACAACAGGTAACAAACAATCGCTATCGATCAACTACATCCATGACAATGTGCGATATACAGCAACCGCACGAACTTATTTAGTTACCTGATATTATCGACTAGCGTTGGATAGGTACATCTTTCACTGATGCCCAGTCAAAATTTCAAGACAATCGAACCATTTCGCGCGGAGTTATCGCGCTGAAAGAGACAGTACCTTTTTAGCATCGAACAAAGAGGCAATACTAATAAGTTCTGTGTTGAACTTGGTAAAACATTTACCGAAACGCACCAGATGTTGATGCAAGCGTATGGTGATGATGGTTGTTTATCACGTAGCCGAGTCTACGAGGTTTACACGGTTCAAAGACGGTCGTGAGTCGCTGGAAGATGACGAAAATGTTGGCCAGCCAAAATTTGTGATTACGCCAGAAACCGTCGAAAAAGTGCTGAATTCATCAAAAATGATACCAAATCTTCATTGAGATACATAGAAATTAAATTTCTTATATCTAAAAATTCAAGACATCGAGTTTTGACCAAGGAATTTGGGCATGGGAAAAGTGTGTTCACGGTTTGTTTCGCACAAGCTCACGGATGACCAAAAATTGCTTCGAATTCAACATTCGAGAGATATCATTAAAGAGGCCAAAAAAAAGACAAAAACTTTGTTTACAACATTGTGATTGATGACGAAACGTGGTGTTTTTAATACAATCCCGAAACCAAGCGTCAAAGTGCCGAATGATAGCACCCCAGCGAGCCAAATCTGAAGAAAAGCCGTTTGGGAAAGTCCAGTGAAGTCAACGTTTATTTACTTCTTTGGGAATTATTCCTAAAGAATTCGTTCTACTAGGCCAAACAGTTAATGCCGTATTTTATCTTGGTGTTATGAAGCGTTTGCTGTCGCGTATTCGTCTAGTTCGGCCAGAATATCGCGAAGAAGGAAGGTAGTGCTTGTTGTACGATAATCGACGCTTGTGTCCGAGTTTTGAACAAAAAATGGCTCACTCATCATTCCCAATATTCTCCTGATATGGCACAGTGAGACTTTTTTTGTTCGGTAAACTACATCTGGCCATGAAGGGAAAGTGGTATGCTGACGTAGAGGCCATTTTGAAGGACATCCCAGTCAATGAGCTAAAATCATCATTCGAACATCTTTTGGTATGTGCAAATGGCTGTATTAACTCTGAAGGAGACTATATGGAGAGAAATAAATTCTATTTTCCGAAACAAAAAATTGTTGTCCATTTTTTCTTTGTCCTGTTCGCTTTGTAGGTCTAGTCTTGGAGGTAGACGAATGAGAAGCAAATATAGTGGGTATAGTCTCTTGTGTTTAGTTATATTTTCCAAAATCGCATTTTTACCTATTGAGATCATTATGGAAGCTATCATTGCTATTAAAAGAGGTAGATTTTTTCTTGTAATTGGCAGTGATTGGTGAAGACATTCTGTATGAACGGGAATGATTCAAAGTATCCTTAAAGGACTTTGTAGACGAATCAGATAGTGATAAATGATTTTCTTCCTCCTCTTCAATTTCCTCCAGTTCTTCTTCTGAGGTTTCATTTGTTTCAATATGCTTCCTGAGTTTCTTGAACTCAAACTTATTCCTCTGTTTGAAGTTGGATGGTTTTACTTGAGAGGAATTCATATATGAATAACATAATATCAGGGAACACAATACCTAGAAAATAAAAAAATATTGTGAACTGCTTGTGGCACCTTCAAAATAAAAATGATGAATTGCACCTTACCTGGCAAACATTAACAGGAAACTGGTACTCCTTGTTTAGTATAACTGCTGTTGTGTATAAAAATGCCAGCCAGCATACAGATTCTACAGTTTTCCAAATTTTTGACCTTCTGTCAAAAAGAACCAGTATAATTTGGAGCAAAAATCCAACAGCTGATACCATTACTAAGATATTTCCATGCACTTTGATATAATTTGGTAGGTATTTGTTTAAATTATCAATTTCTTTATTCAAAGCAGCACTGCTGTTATTCACTACCTCAGAAAGGTCATTGATGATGACATCATATTTCTCTGGGAGTTTTACCTAGAAATAGTGAGGATTATTGAAAAAATCAATATCAGGAAATCCTAGAAAAATATTTTTTAGAGTTTCAAAAATAAAATATTGCCTTACCTTCATATCTGATGGATATTCTACTTTAATTTTTAGTACATTGCACATCATAAGCATACTCAATAAAATCAGTGTATATCTTATTGACTTCCAAAATATTGACTGCTTGTATTTTTTACTAAAACCCTGTGATGATTTTGTGAGGTCGATAAGAGACATGCCTTTCTTTTTGAGGCTTTTCAGTCGATTTCCAAAGATCCATGAGTGTTGCCTATCTAAAGTTGTCTTTAAGACAGATTCACATTTTTTGCATAGTTTATATGCTTTCTCTAGCTGCTTCCTATAAAAATAGTAATAGGATTATTTATTAATGTAAAAATTATTTCAAAAAATAGTGACATATGTGTAGAAAGGTATAAAATAATTCTATTATACAAAATTCTTAGGCATTGTATATGAAATTCTGTAAATTTACATATAAAATGTCATTTTTTTCAATTTATAAACATACAGTGGTTTGAAATTGTAAATATCTACACACAGCTCTACAGCCATACCTTAGAAGAACGGCATTATAACACCTCTGATTGGGAAATTTATATTATTTTTTCAATTTACTTACTGTCTTATATATAATCCGATACTTTGCTATCACATATCTATAGGTTAGGGTACCCACACTATTCCCAAAATAAGGATGTTTTTTTATGTGAAATTATTTTGGAAAATGTGTATCAACTTACTGGAAATGTTCAATCTCTATATCATATTTGTCCTCATTCAAGGGAGTGAATTTTGCTAACTGGTATACCTTTAACTGCTGGTTATTATTGCAGTAGGTACACAAGTAATTTGTTGATGGTTCAGTCTTTACATTACTTTTTAGTCTTGTGAATCCAACTGCATGCTGTGCTTCAATGACCTTGAAGGTTTGACAATGATCAATTAATTTTAATTTACATAGATTTTCATAAATAACTTTACATCATATTTCAACCTTAACATATCCATGTGTTATTGTTAACATTTTCACACAAGATCAATGTTTAAAGTGAGTGTTTACTGCAAAAGTGCAAAATGAAGAAGTATAAGAAGTTTCTTATATATAACAGAAAAAATTCACAATCAGTATTTACTGTGATTATTACATATTCAATTACAGTGAAACTAATAGAAAAACCTCACAATATAATAAAAACTGATAATTTAATTTTTTGTAACAAAACATGATCAAAATTTACCTTATTGTAACCCCCATCCTCACTAAAACCATTGTATTGGAAACAGGAGGGACAATCCCAACAATTCTTTTGTGAATAAGGAACCTTTGTCCAAACATTGCAAAACCAGCAATTTACTCTGACATGGAAGTCATTACTGGAATGAAAAAAAAATAAAAAATCAGAAAGAACTTTCAATAAAGCTCCACTATCCAGCATGTCAGTCAGTAGCTATACAAATGAGTATACTTAACTTTTATTTTATCTTTTTATTTTATCTTAAAGCTTTATTTACAAAGTCCTAATTTACAGGAACATCAAGCAGAAATTGTTGGCTCACAGCAGCTCAAAATGGAAGCATTGCCACCCCTCATATGCATGACAAGTGCTTTCTTAAAATGACCTACTGTCTCTGAATCTTTTATTTGATTTGATAACTTATTATATTCCCTCAGACATTTGTACATGATTGATCTCATTATGCACACTTTATTGGTTTTTGATTAAATAAAAATAGGAGGTGAAACTGATAATAATTTCTTTGCTTCTTTTCAGTGGTGCAGGTGAAGTTCCTTTTACAATTTTGAATATGGATGCCATGGTCACTAAGTAAAGATATTGGCTTACAGACAACTGTAGAGTTTTCAACATGTCCTGAATTCATTTGTATTTACAATTAATATAAGAATAAATGCATCATCCTTATGAAACTCTTGTTCAAGCTTATAAACAAAAATATTACTGACTGATACAAGTTTTTTCTAAAAAAAAAACACACTTTATCAATATCAAACAAGAGCACATTTTTTTAGCCATTATTGTACAGAGGTTTAAAAAATAAGCAACACTAAGTTGAGGCTCCTTAATCTCTGGGAAACTCAGAAGATTTGTTATTTATGTTTTATTTCTACTATGTTTTGAAAACAGCTTGTTTGACAGTTCTGTAAGAAAAGTCAATATCCAGTGGCTTCCTTTAAATACCTGTATCTCCATAGGGAGCCCCTGTAACATTTTTATAAACACTTTTCAATTATTCTCTTGCGTTGTAAATAAATATTTGAGAGATTGTTCTTATTTTCTGGGGCACCCTATGACATTGGATAGTAAAAACATTATCAAAGGTATAGCAGATCTGTCTTTTACTTCGATTGAGGTCTGAATTTTAGTTGAGACATGACCATAAAGGAATCAAATGGAAACTTTACGATTTTTGAATAAATCTAATCACGCTACCTTAAATTTTGTCTGTATAAAAATAAACTGATGTATCATCAAGATGGTCATTTAGCATTTTAGGCTACTCACCTTTTCAAGAAGTACAAGTTCACTACTACAACGAATAAAACTAAAAACAAAACTAAAAGAGACGCAACCACTGATACGGTTTCTAGGATGTTCTGCATAGTTGATTACAAAGGAGAATGGCTAAGTAATAAGTACTAATAAATTCATACAAATTCAACCGCACTTTTATTTGGCGGCTTCATCGACATTTTACCTAACCTCAATTTTTGGAACATGCCGAAAAATCAAGAGTGACATCTGGTGACATCTACTAAAAGCATTTTTTCTCGAGTCCACGGTATCGCACAGTGCAGTACTGGGAACTGGGAACCGATACTCAATTTTTCCGGAAGAACGGGAATAGGGGAACAAATGTCAAAAAATCACGTGGTACGGGTAACCGCCTAATGCGAGTCCCGCACGATGCTTCCAATGTTGTATACAACGTTCGACACCCCACAATTGGCAAGTGTGTCTCCTACACGATGGGATGAACTTTTTTAGTCTCGGACGTTCGACGCATGGTGGTGCCAACGTCTATTATCGATGGCAGTGTCGCGCTTGAAGCTTTACAACTGAAGGAAAAATTATACAAAACAAACAAGGAAACAATTTTTTCGAGCGCGGAAACATAATTTCAGGTCTGTCCTCAGCAACCAAAACTTAAGTCTGTCAGAAGCCTCAAAAATGCTGGAAGACGAAGCTTGACCGTTTTTTGTTTGTTAACAGGTACTGTCATACAATTTTTCCATGTAGAAACCATTTGTAATTCAAAATTCCGCGTTTGTGATTCTTAAAAATTAAGACGAAGGAAATCGTCGTCATAAAAACCGCAGGATAAGTTTCAGATGCTACATTAACACAAAAACTGGTGCCAGCGCTTGACTTGTGTTTGAATGTTTATGGTGGCTATGATGAAAAATGAAAAAATGTTCATATTTTAGTTTGTGGTACAATTCACATTCATAAATAAAATTTCTCTGACTGGATTACAAAACGGTTCTTACTTAAAAATGACCCTCGTATAAACCGTTACTTCAATGCTATTTTTGTTTAGGTTAATAACTGTGGCATGCTAGCGTTTTTCGATTGTATAAATGAAGCCAGAATTGTGAAACGACATGATTTTTCTTCAGTGATACAATTAATATTAGCAGTGACAGTGGAGGTTTTCATCTCCTATTAATGATCATGTAATTTTACATCAAATACTTAATAAATATATTTATATATTAAAAAATGTTTCCTTTTTCCAATTGTTGGAAGAGTCGCGTGTTCAAAAAGTGTTCAGAGACATTAACGTTCCGCCGCACAGGCGCCAGGCGACGCAAAATGTAAATAACAGCTTTTTTAGTTTTTTGGAAAACATTGCTATATCTCCATTGGCATCCCTCAATGTTTTATTCAAAGCTTCTTTTTTATATAACTTTCTAGCAAAATAGCAGAGGTAAAATTGTCCGATGAGCTGGCAACGCAGCAATTTAGGTGACAAGAATGACAGCTAAGTTTATCAAGGATCTTAGTGCTAACATTTTGCGCAACATGCGCCATCTAACTACTCCCGATGTAACTGGAAACTGTCAATACTTCTAGAGGAAGGGGGAAATTCCACCTGTTCCCGCTCCTGTTCACAACGAGATCTTACGAAAAAATCTCTTTAAATGTACGGTACGTCTACTTCAACAATAGATGGCAGAGGTTATATTAAAAACATAAAAACGCATGCTGCTTGTCACGTAGGACATAGGTGACTGATTGGTTGCATAACATCAAGGACCTCCTACTACTTGCACTTTCCATTTTCGTCCTTAGATGTTTAATTGGAGAATGATCCTTGAAGTGAAAAAAATCTTAATTCAGTTTGAATGCATACTGTAGGGGGTACGCTTGTCTGTTGGTCTGCATTTTCTCAAAATAATCGGTGGATAACGTGGTTTTAAGTGATAATAATTCTTAGTGCCTAGATTATTACGAAGGTAAGAAAGTTTGTGTTAAGTGGAAAGCTATTATTGCAAATAGTTCTGAATTAGTTATGAAAATTATAAATCCTCATATCAATCAGAAGAATCCTGCATGTTTATTATCATGGAATTATTATGAAAGGATATTATGTAAAAAAACGTGTCAAGGTGTCTCTTCTGTTCAACACAATTTGCTGCCAAATTCTTGGGTTCACGCATCTGGGCCCTCGACTGTTTTTCAAGAAAGTCTGTTAAAAATCTTTCTTGATTTCTGCAATAGTGTCTGTGAAGTGAAAGTAGTTGTCTTTCTAGGTAAACAACATTGCAAGACGAACAAGTTATGCAATGTTGGTTGTTAATTTTTAACTAAAGTGCTTATCAGTTTCATGCTATTCATTTTTTAAAAATCGCATTTTCTATTGAGCTGGTTAAGTATTTATATATATATACTTGCACTATGGAGATATCTAGATATCTTTTACAGAAGTTCCAGTTAATTAAAGTCAAAAGAGTTGTCTAAAGTCAATTAGTTTTAAGTTTGCTCGATTAGCACATGACCAGAAATCGTTAAATATTTAACCTGATTCTCATATTGAGGAATGGAGCTGGCCAAGAGCTATGACGGAAAGTCTTTGAAAAAATTAAACTTTGGGTTCTGTACTATGGCCCCTAGAGCTGTGTCCAGGGTCCCCTGTAGGCAGGAGTACTAGAACAACAAATCTAGGCCATACTAATCTCATGATATATAAAGCAACTTGACTATGTGTCACTAACTTTGATATTTCACTGACATAAGAGACTAATTATTACTATTATTATATTATCCTTCTTTGACAGTTAAAATATCAAATAGTGCCATCCATCAAATTCATAATCTTGATTCCTTAGTGGTATCCATATATTTCTTAAAGATTACAGATGTGAAGTTTCTACACAGCTTCAATGCAACACAGTACTGCTTTGTTAATAAACAGTAATATAGCGTCCATTGGTTCATCCACCGATGCCCAACCAGCTGTTTTGTTCTTTTTGGCAACTCTTCAGCATAGTGTAGGCTCGGTCTCAGTAGACTATTTTTGCAGTGGTCGATTCTGGTAATAGATGACAATTTGTGCTGTCTTATTTCGATAGTGCCTTGTTAATATTAAAAAAAAAACAAAGTAATCTTGGAGTGGCTGTAGGAATTACACTCACTGTTATCTCACATATATATGTCCAGAAATTTTCTGGCCATGCCAAAAAACACAATCAGGTTCAAGGTTAAAGAATAGATAAGACAGCATTAAAAAAGAATGGAGACTGGAAGCAGATTTGAGGATTTTGGAGCATTCTCAAAAATGCTCAAGTAACTCCCTGGGAAACTAGAACTAATAGGGTTTAGTGCAGCACTAGCATCAAACACACTGTTTTGTAGATAAAAAATAATGCGATAATATAACGATTTTTATAAATCATGAATATTTAAAACTCCATGTTTTTATGGCTGCTAAATGAATGATTCCTTACTTCACCATACTCATTTGGTGTTTACAAAAAATAAAAGTGTTTTCTTGAAGTATGAATATTGGTCTTTTTACATTTCTGTGATGGGTTTTTGTGTCTGGCAATTCGATTTCCTGTATAAATACAGGGTGTTCGAAGAATAGACGGAGATATTTTAGAGCGTGATTTCTTGTTAAATAATATGAAAAAAGTTTCTATAAACATGGGTCGGGAAATGCGCAGTTTTCAAGATATAGGGTGATGCATTTTTTTTATTAATGTCTTAAAAATATTTGCTCGATTCTGTTGAAATTTGGCAATATTATTTGTTGTATTAAGAGGCTAATTTTTTTATTTTTTTTCCAAGGCACTTATGATTTGTTCAGCAAAAATTGAAAAGCCAATTTTGTCCAGTGACGGATTTTATTTGTAAGTAAGATACGAAAAAATACAAGAGACAGAGAATTTGTATTTGTAGATGCCTAATCAAACAACAAATATTAAAGTTTCAAAACAGGCAGTGGAGTACGTTTTTTGCAAATCATATTCGCTAAGATGACCCAGAGACGCCACTTGGGCTAATAATTTTAATCTATTTAGGGCTAAATTAGCCTCTTGATTCAATAAAGAATATTGCCAAATTTTAACAGAATTGAGTAAAGATTTTTCAGGATATTAATATTTTTTTAAATTTATTACCCTGTATCATGAAAACTCATCATTCTCGCACCCATGTATATATAAATTTTTTACCATATTTTTTTACAAGTAATCACCCTTTAAAATATATCCGTCTATTTTCGAACACCCTGTATATCTTGAATATAATAGACTATTTATTTCATGGAAACAAACTCACTACTCTTAAAAATCATGGATAATCATTATAAAAAGATTGAAATTACGCAAAAGTGGATTTTGAATGTTATGTTGAACAAAAAGAAATGTTATCGCTCAGAAAATCTTTACAATTAATCTCAGCTTTTCGACTGCTGGCAAATTTATTTTTATCATACAATAATATATTTAACAAAAAAACAAAATTGTTACTTTCTATCAGCCACAACCATCAAACGCGATTCAGGGAAACCTCTGCACTAATTCCTAGACTTAATAAAACTATCATCCAAAGATTACTACTATACTATTTTCTATGCTCAAAATTTTATAATGTTATTCCTGCAAACTTTAAACATATAAAATGTAAAAAACGTTTAAAAATTGAATTAAAATCATGGAGCCTAAATCAACCAAGGCTACAAATCCATAAGTTTGTTGACACTAAAAACCTATACGTTATTTGATCATAAAGAAAATTTGTTGTATTAATATAATTCAACTTCGGTTAAAACCCAAGAACAAGTCTACACTTTTTTGGGTATATTATTTTTATTGGACATTGCCGTTATCATTTATACGAAGACTTTGTAATTGGACAAATAAAAATGATTATTATTTCTCCTTATTTTACTATTTGGTTGCTCTTTAAAAGCCCACGTGTCGCAATTTTAACATTTTTGTCCAAAAATCATCCATATTCGAATATTTACTATTTGATATGATGAGCATGGGTTGCAACTAATGTGTTCCACCAATGCTCTCAGAATAAAAACAAAAGTTAAAATAAATGAATGCACAATTAGAATGAGATTTCAATTCTTGTTTTTATTGTGGTGCCATACTTACATATGTTTTGGATTCAGTGTACTAGTAAATAGTTAAATAATAGAAAATGGGTTAATTTCGGATACGAATGCCAAAATTTGGAACCTTAGGCTTTCAAAGGACAATCAGAAAAAACGTTCAGGTATATTTAAATCACTTCATAAATGCGATCAACTTGAAGTGTTATTTTAAATTTTACCGAAGTGGCCTTTATGGATTCTTATAATTTATTGAATACCAACTTCCCTTATATGAAACAGCGGCAATGTGTTTTTTTGATGTACCATAAAATCCTATCAAGGAGCATAACGTGCCCCTAATAATTCTTATCGTGGAATTCTGCACAGTGATAAACATTTCAACAAACAACTGGACTGAAATTTGGATTGGGTTACTTTTCTGTAAACATCATAACACATATTGCTACACTAATTCAAAGTTTTGAGTAATGTAAATTTTTTCCATTTTGATCCATAATATAAACAGGCGCGGATCCAAGGGGGACAATGGCCCCCGAGGCCTCAGAATTGCAGGTAACGTGAGGAAAGGGGAAATATGGAGGAAATTGTTTTTTGCTTGAAAACTTAAAATAAATGTGCATTCTATTCTTACTTCTGAAGGTAGGCAACCCACAAACCCGCACTACTTGCCCCCTAAGACGTGATCCTAGATCCGTGTCTGCGAATAAATAACAATATTATTAATGTTGCTTTAAAAATGGTGCATAAATTAGTAATGATTTAAACCATAATTATCGATAATGTATCATTAATTTTCAAAAAGAGATATTGAAGGCTGAGACCCTTGTTCGTATACCTATACTTTACACTACTTTCACGCGGGGGAGCGGCGTGTTCAGGCTACTGTACTATGCATAGGGCTTCGGACTCTTAAGTATTTTTGATTTCCAGCAGACTCTTAGACAAATTTCAAAGATTCTAGCGTATTTTGCAATCTCGATCAAAACTTTCTCCTTGGGTAAAACAGGTTTTTGGATTACAAATCTGATATGAGTTTTTCATAAGTAATATCATAAAGGCATCTAATTTTTCCGAAAAAATCGAAAAAACACTCTGCCGAGTAATATTTTAACAAGAAGTATGAGTGCTGGTGGCAATCAAAAATTTTTGCACCTGTACGAATGTTTTTTTATTAAAAAAATATCTCTACAATGTGTTTTTTCGATTTTTTCCACAGGAAAAAATAAGATGCACCAATGATATTTGGCAAGACGATTTCATGAGTAACAGATTATTTTTTCTGGTGTCCTTGGATACCATAATTACTTGTTATCAAAGGTATTGTATTTTTTTGTGACAACAGCTGCCAAGTTTGGCCGCGGGTACTCGAAAAAACTGCTGACAGGTGCTGTCATACAATTTTTCCATCTAGAAACCATGTGTAATTCAAAATTACGCATTTGTGATTGGTAGAAATTAAGACGAGGGAAATAGCCACTGAAATTTACCACTACTACTTTTTTACTGTAAATAGGGTTTAGCAGCAATTTAGCATTTCTATGGCTATACCAAAAGTCAACGTCCCAAATAACCCCAATGCGCCACATTTCATTCGTTTGTAGCTAGAGGTTACGAAAATGGAAATTATGCGTTGAAGAACTTCAAAGTTTATAGCTGTACTATCAAATTATTCCGAAAATTCTCTTACTGAATACTGTATTCTCTAATTCTCTTCATTTTTCATAAGAAGAGAGAAAGTATATACGTATATGATGGAATTATATATGGAATCCAAATGAAATTATTAAATTTAATTAGGAAAAGTGTACCATTACTATTTTTTAAAAATGCATCCATTGAAACTTTACACACTTGGGAGAATAATACTTCTATTTATATCAGTAATAA